GGGTTTGGTGGCAGGCGCATAAAAAGTGATGCTTAATAATTTTAATTTCCTGCGCCCTGGCGTGTTGAATGCTTCATAAATTTCATGATGAACCAAGCTGAACGTTGCTGCATGCTAGACAGCCATACCCCCCCAACCCACCCGCCCCTTTCCTCCTTCCATCATCATTCCCTTAATACGCCCGTTGCCACCTTGCCAGCGCACCTTGCTATTCATCATGCACCCCGCCACGCTGCTCACTCGGGCGACGCACAAAAGCGCGCTTCACTTATTTCAATCAAATTACGGCCAATGAATATTAAACTATCGCACACGCACACACACAGCACACATAGAGCACACGCAGCGAAATGTGCAACGCAAGCTGAAAATAGTTTTTGAATATTTGTTACAATTTTTTAACCCCACCCACCTCAAACACACACACACACACACACACACATATATATATGTATATAAATTTTTTTTTGCATTTTGTATGGACCACAGCGGAATTCGGCTGTTGGCGACGTTGACGGGTTGATAATATTTTTATATGAAAAAAATATCGAAGGGTTAAATCAAGCTACAGGAAATTCGTAATGGAAATGGCGCAAGTGATTTGACCGGCAACAACAACAACTACAACATCAGCATAAAATTGTGTTGTCATAAAATCCATTAAAAGTTTTGTCAATTTTACACTTTTCTCTGCATTTTTCACAAGAGTTTTTTTTTATTTTTTATTTTTTTGTTGCATTCTGTTTTTTTTTTTTTTTTTATTTTCGCTTTATTTAGTTGCCGTTTTTAGGAATTTGAATCAATCTGGATATTATTTAGAGCTCTTTTCGAGTTGTTAAGTTTAGCACGATTTATTTTGTGCTCGAAACCCAGATTAGAGTTTTTATTTGACGATGCTTTTTGATAGCCGACTCAGTTGATATTCAGATGCGTCTGTTAAGTTTCGGTTATGAAATTTTCTAAAGATGCTTTCTTTCTTAATGCGTATCTGTCTACTATATAAGATATTGCAGTTTGTATTGAGATTGGATTATGGAACGAACTGGCTGGCATAGGAAAGAATGGTCTTTGTTTCATCTTGTCTAGGATATATTTAATTATTATCTATTGTTATATATTTCATATTATTATATTTATATGAATATTAAAGTCTTGTCGAAAATAATTAACTGACATTAAAAAAAAAAAAATATTTTGGCATGGATATAGAACGATTGACCTTCATTTGCTTGTGTCTATAAAATATTATTTAATCTTTTTTATTATTCGGAGAGACTAATATATATCAGGCTAACCCTCTTTGTGAATTGCCTCGAATGAGCTGTTAGCTGTCATGTGTGCATTTGTTCTAACTAATTGGGTCGTTATGTCGATGATTTTGTAAGCAAACAAAAGAATGCGACCGCATTTTTAGCAAAAATATTTGAGTTTCGCATGACAAAACAAAAGCTAGCAATGTCAGCACTAAATTGTAAACAAGAAAGGAGCCCAGGCTGTCAATTTTTTGCTGAATTATTTAATTTTTTGTATAACCTTGCACAGAGCACTATAATTGGGGCACGATGGGCAAGTCTAAGGCTTTAGCGATTTTATGAGCTATTTATATATACCTGATCGAGACCGATAATCGAGAGGATATAGCCAGGTTTGCCTGTTGCTATGCAAGCTACTTTCTCACTCATAAAGCTATCATCGTTTAAGTTTGCTAAGGCGTTACATGTATTGCCATCGATCGGAGCGAAATTAGTTTCTTATGCCTCAGCAACTGTTGCTTATCTCCTTTTTTCCATATCTCAACGTTCACAAGTTCAAAAATTTAATTATATCTTAAGCTCACCTGCGTTAACTCTAAACGAATAAAATTGTATATTCTAGGCTAAATTTAAACTATTAATATGTTGCCAGCGCTATTAGACGGATGTGCTGTAAGTGGAGCAAAATCCAATGCTGCCCGCGTGCATTTAATTGTCCAACACACACAAACACACACACACTTATGGGAACATCAAGTTGCTTCATTAGGATGCATAAACTAAAAAACAAATAGCGTTGCGGTTGCGAAGGTTTTTTTTTTTTTGTTTGTTTATTTTTGGTTTTTTTCTAATGTAATGAAATAAGTTCAACAGGATCTCTGGCAGGCAGATCCTGAACAAGCCTTTGTCCGGCATGGCAGTTGGGTTATGGCCAGGCAAACACATGCATGTACGTTATAAGTGTGTGTGCGAATGTGTGTGTCTGTGTGTGTGTGCGTGTTTGTGTGCATGTGCGGGCCTGCAACAAATTGGTGGCTCTAATTTTGCTCGCAGGCAGCAGCCTCTCATTAAATTTTCATAGTTTTCCAAACGCGCCCAAATCCGAAAATGATAATTAAAATGAGTCCCACCCTCCAACTTGAACCCAGCCAACGCTTGCTCTAAGTGTGTGTGCATGTGTGTGTGTGTGTGTGTGTGTGTGTGTGTGTGGGTGTGCAAGGCATGAATTATGCGCAAGCACACACTTAACACCCAAACGAACCAGCTCACAACGTGGCATCCTGCGGCTGCTGCTGCTGGTGCTGCTCTTGCTGCCGGCCTCCTTGTTGGAGCAGCAGTTGGAGCTGTTGGGGAGGCAGTTCAGCGGTTGAATGGGCGGAGCAGCAACTCATAAATGCTGTGCAGGCCAGTAAAAAGGATTCACACAGGATGCGAGAAGGACATCAGCAGCAGGAGTACGTGAGCTGGCTGGCTAGGTCGGGTCAGGATTCAGGCTTCAGGATTCACGGCAGACTCTGGTTACTGTCACAACTCACAGCTATGCGCCGCTGGCCTCTGCTTCATGCATGCATAAGAAAGCAGCTTCTTAAGCCAGAATCGCGCCCACCCGCACACGCACACACACACACGCCCACGCCCACACGCAGAAGAATGAAAAAAGTGAAGCAAACGTTCAACTAAAAGCGTTGCGTATACGTAATATTTACAGTCATAGCTGTCTAAAAGGAACTAGTCTAACAGCTAATTCATAAACTTTCAGAGTTGCGGGGATCATCTTTTTTTCTTATTCATATTCTTTTTCTTATTCTTATTCTTATTCTTATTCTTATTCTTATTCTTATTCTTATTCTTATTCTTATTCTTATTCTTATTCTTATTCTTATTCTTATTCTTATTCTTATTCTTATTCTTCTTATTCTTTTTCTTATTATTATTCTTATTCTTATTCTTTTTCTTATTCTCTTATTCTTATTCTTATTCTTATTCTTATTCTTATTCTTATTCTTATTCTTATTCTTATTCTTATTCTTATTCTTATTCTTATTCTTATTCTTATTCTTATTCTTATTCTTATTCTTATTCTTATCTTATTCTTATTCTTATTCTTATTCTATTCTTATTCTTATTCTTATTCTTATTCTTATTCTTATTCTTATTCTTATTCTTATTCTTATTCTTATTCTTATTCTTATTCTTATTCTATTCTTATTCTTATTCTTATTCTTATTCTTATTCTTATTCTTATTCTTATTCTTATTCTTATTCTTATTCTTATTCTTATTCTTATTCTTATTCTTATTCTTATTCTTATTCTTATTCTTATTCTTATTCTTATTCTTATTCTTATTCTTATTCTTATTCTTATTCTTATTCTTATTCTCACATAGCAGTGCTTACTGTAGGAGCAGGCATTTGCGTGAGTTGGTTTTGTGTGTGTGTGTGTGTGTGTTGGCCAGGTGATGTGATTTATTGCATTGTGGAAACTTTTAGGTATCGCTCTGCTCTGTTGTGTGCGTGTGGTTAGGTGTGTGTGTGTGGTGCGTTGTGCGTGGTGCGCTCTTTTTCGCTTAAGAGACAAACCGCTAATTTGTTATCATTTATCACCATGCTGAGACGCGTGTGTGTGCATGTCTGTGCTGATGTGTGTGTATAAACAATTTGTAAATGTGTTACATTTAAACCCTAAAGTAAAGTCTGTTCGGTTGGCCCCTCCCGGCTCCACCTTTGGTGAGTCCGTGCGTTTGCCTGATTTTGTCATTGTGATAAATACTTTGACGTCAACGTAACATGCGAGATTTAAACGTGCGTGAATGTGTGCCTGTGTGTGTGTGTGTGGGTTTGTGTATTTGTGCACATGTTAGCTTAAATAATGAAAAGGGACCAAGGATTTGGTCCAGCCGCTGAATAATGACAGCGTAGCGGACGGCTAAAGAGATAAACATTTTTTATGAATCGTATTTCATTTGTGACTTACAATACAAACAAAAATGAAAAGAAACCAGATATTTTCGGCATGCCGAAGAATAAATACCCTACGATCTAAAAGAGATTATTTACAGCAACTTTTGCCTCGACCAATTGCTTTTACAGATCTTTGTGGTAAATAAGATCTATGTTCATTAGCTGTCAAGTTATCTTGGGCACAAAAGATTTTCTATGCACGAGCTGACTTATCGAGCGATCATGATATGGCAGCTATATATAGACACGTATTTGTAAGGACACGAAAGTAAAGTTCGTTTCCAATCATGCCTTACAAAATACATATGTGACATAATTCGACCACCCTGAGCAAGTGTATCAAAACACATAAACAATAAGAGCCCCCCTCAAACACGCCTACTCCCTATCAGACGGCCCCCAAGGCAAACCCTTGCTTATCTGTAGGAGCTTGGGCAAATTAAGTTCTGAATTTAAACGCATAAATATTGAAATTGAAACGATTCCGAGCTGGAATTAAACTCAAAAGAACCCGTTGTCTAATACATGTGTGAATACGAAACCAGCCTAGTTCATGAGCTAGCTCGCGAGCTAGTTCGTCGGCTAGTTAAGAGAAGAGTGTTCCCTGACTTTTGATTTAAATTACTACACAAATAAAACTTTAGCTTTTCTCGTAAGATCAAATTTTCATTCGAATCTAAGTAAATCCTTTATAAATAGAAAACATAAAATATATATATTCCCGAACAGTATTTTATATAATAGTAGCCACAAGAACTCGCAATTTCAAAATTGTCCTACAAAAATATGTCAAGGAATTCGCTGCTGGCCCTAACAGCCGGCACAGCCGGTGCACTGCTCCTCGGCTATTGTATATATTACGATCGGAAGCGTCGCTCCGATCCAAATTATAAGAAGAAGGTGCACGAGCGTCGCCAAAAGACGAACCCGTTGCCGTTCGTCTGCGATTACCGAGGCGAGTCGACAAGCGATGATACATTTGAGCTCAACGACCATGAGGTTGTGCAGCATTATTTCCAGAATGAGATCAAAATGGCCGAGGATCTATTTAGGCAGGCCAAATTGGATGCGGGTCTGGTGCATCTGGCCAATGCCATAATGGTCTGTGCCCAGCCGGTAGCCCTTCTGGAGGCCATGAAAGTGGCATTGCCCGAACGCATCTTCAACCTGCTGCTGACTAAGCTACCCGAACTGCAGTTGCCCAATCCCCTTGGCGAGACCACGGGCGTAGATCTCGCGCTCGATTGAAACTCGATCAAGCTCCAACTTTTGATTTTTGTAGTTAGTTAGAAGAAACGAATGAAAAGCCAAATCAAAAAAAAAAAAAAAAAAACAAAAAATAAAAAAAAATTAGAAAAAGAAAAGAAAACCCAACCAAAGAAACAAACAAATTTGCTTGTACAGTGTTTCCGGCAAAAAATAAAAATCGTCATTATTTTATTTAAGCTATTTTTTTTTATCCAACCTGCCTATTTCAATAGGCTCGGCATCGATCTTCTTCACACTATGGGGTACATTAGTTTCTATTCCAGCTATGGGGAACATATTGTCAACCACTTTTCGATCAAGCAGCTCTCCTCTTGCGAGTACTGTAATGCAACCACTAAAAATATCTGCCGAAACAAACAAGGTTTGCGTGTAGCATCCAATTCTAATAATCTGAGCCTTCAACCACTTTGTCCCACTTACTAAAAGAACTCCATCGTGAATAGATTAATGTCCTTTCGTAAAAAAAAAAAACATGTTGGCCTTGCCTTAAACGGCAGTTGGACAATCGAGACAAAACCGAATTCTCTCAGTATTCATTTAGTATTCGTTTCGTAAAAACACACAATAAGCGTAAGAGGACAGAATAAAATAATACGAAAAGTATAACAAAAAATAGCCACAAGAAAATTTTGTATAATTTTAGGAATTATTTTCATAATTAATTTCATATCGTTTTCATATCGCATTTTATTTATTTTAATTATTCCTGTTTGGTTTTTGATTTATTTTGTTGTTTTTCGTATACCTCAATTTGCTTCCAAATTGATTATGTTAAGCATATCGTGCAGATCCTTGCTGGCATTTGCCGTAGGCACCGCGGGTGCATTTATCCTGGGCTTTTGCATCTATTTCGATCAGAAGCGTCGCTCCGATCCCGAGTACAAAAAGAAGGTGCACGCGCGCCGGCAGCGTGAGCAGGACAAATTCAAATATCGCATATCAAGTGGCGATGATATTGATCCAAATAGTTGCATGCTGGATGCCAATAATCACACAAGTCTGGAACGTTGTTTTCTCAATGAGATCAATCTGGGTGAGCATCTGCTTATCCGAGGCAACATGTCAGAGGGTCTCAGCCATTTGGCCAATGCGATCATGATGTGCGCCCAGCCGCTGCCAGTGCTCCAGACACTGAAGGAATCCTTGCCGGAGCGCGTCTTTATGCCATTGATCATTAAGCTGCAGGAGCTGCAGAGCAGTGGCAGCAATACTATGCCCAGTTCCAACAAGGACAACTCAACCAGCTCACCCGACTTTTCCTAAAGAAAGACAAACAAAAAAAGGATTCTTGAGCAAAAGAAAAGTGAAGCAAACACCAACTGCAGGAACTACAGCAGAGCCCAACAAAAAAACCGAAACGCGCACTACTTTTCGACATATATATACATATATATATATAGATGTAAACTTAACCCAAATCGTCTAGTGTTCTCCTCCCCTTCTTTCGACTCGAATCCTGATTTGAAAAGATCCGGATTAAACTCACCCTAATAAAATAGTTATTCTTATAACATGACATTCTTATTTGAAGTACTAATTTTTAATTACGAAAATACTTGAAGCATGCTTTATTTGTTTTTCAGCCTTATTTAGGTGGGAAATATTGAATATTGAAATATATAGATTATATGTAGGATATTTTAGGGTACCATTTGCACATGCACTTGGACCAAGAATAATGTTGCTAAATTTAGATGCTTAATCAATGTAGAGGCTAGACTCTATGAACAAAGACCCAAACCTCGTACAAATCTGATGTGATTTGACCGAGCTGTGGGGGTGGGAGATTTTGACCTACATATGTGCAAAATTGATATAGAGGGTGCGGTAAAGCGGGTATACCCCGGCCTTGCCAGTGGCAGGTTTAAAATAAACTGAAAAGTTGCTAACAAACGATCTCGATCTTGACAATATTGTAATAGGATAAGAGCATCATTGGTAACCCTAGCCAGGGTATTATAGTGTCACTATCTATGTTAATTATAACAGTACGATAAGTAAATATCGATAAAGAAAAGCGGCTGCAGAGAAGAAGTGGAAGGCAGTCTCTCTACAGTACTAGCAGTAAGAAGACGTGTTGTTAAAAATAAAAAGGCAACCCGAACATAAGTTAAATCAACGAAGAAAATCATACTATTACAATATCAGAAGTGGGATTGACTCAGAAAAAAAAAAAAAACACAACAAAATGGAAAATATAAATATAAATGACGTGTCAATAGCGACATTGAAAAGTTGGTTGGCATTACTAAATTTGCCAACAGAGGGTACCAAAACTGAGCTGATGGCGAGATTAAATAAGGTACCAGTGGACATCCGAGACGATGCTGCAAAGGAACTTGAAGTTCAACGTAACAAGGAACAGACAATTGAGGCTCAAAATGAGTTGCAAAACATAATGCAACAACAGCGTGACGAAATAGCAAATGGCGCCGAGATGCTGAAATTGATGCGTCTCGAAATTGAAGCGTCTCGAAAATTCCTAGAAGAATTTCAAGTAACGGTGAACCGCAACTCGCACATCGGCGGGAGCGACGGGGGAGAGCAAGAAAGTGAAGTCGGCGATTTATTGCAGCTAGAGGATGGTCACACTGAAGAAAGACCACGGTCGACGGATGGCAACGCTGGTGCAGCTGATTACACTGGAACGGATGGCAACGCTGGTGCAGCTGATCACGCTGGTGCAGCGGGCAACGCTGGGGCAGCTGGAAGGATCGACGAAAGTGGCAACGCTGTCGGAGGCAACTTAAATAATTGCATCCAAACTGGAGCGATGATGTTAGCCAAGGAAATTTTATTAGAATTTACTGGAGAAAGTGAGGTGCGTAAATGGGTAATGCAATTCTTCAATGTGGCCAAGATCTACAGACTAAATGATATGCAACAGCACTTGCTTTGTATAAGCAAATTGAAAGGCGGTGCTTTGAAGTGGTTGCATGCAGACCCTATGCGCATCATTGCTCCGATTGACGAGATGCTAAATCAATTGGTTTTGGCCTTCGGGGGAGGATTTTCGAAGTCGGAACTACGACAGAAGTTCGAGGATCGGGTTTGGAAACCAGATGAGGTGTTCGCCACATATTTTAGCGAAAAAAGCATATTGGCACAGGACATCAACATTGATGTAGAGGAGTTAATGGAGGGTATTATTCGAGGCATACCTTGCGAAAACTTGCGCACTCAAGCTAGTATGCATTGCTTTACCAATCCGGCTCAAATTTTACGTGCGTTTGCAGCTATAAAGTTGCCAATTAAACGGGTACGAAACCATGTAGTGAAACAAACTGCACAGGAAGCACAGGCGGACAAACAACAACGTTGCTACAATTGCAATGTTAAGGGCCATTGGGCCAAAGATTGTTTAAAGCCCAAACGGGAGGCAGGATCTTGCTATGCGTGCGGCTCAAAGGATCATTTAATAGCAGGATGTCCAAATAAAAAGTATGATATGGAAAACAAATATGTAAGATACTTAAGAATTCATTTTAGTAACTCATTTAACAAATCAATAATTGCAGAATGCCTTATAGACTCTGGCAGCCCTATTTCATTTTTAAAGGAAAAGTTTGTGCCATTAAAAGTAAAGCGTATGCCAGATGCAAATTCGTATGTAGGTTTAAATGAAAGTAAATTGAAAAATTTTGGAAAAATTTTATGTTTTATGAAGAAAAAGTTAATAAATGTTTATTTTAATGTTATAATTGTGGCAAATGAGTCTATGAGGTATGACGCTGTGCTTGGTAGAGATTTTATGGATTCTTTTGGTTTAAATATTGATTTAAGAACATTAAAAATTGTGAACGGGCATAAAGTTGATCACCAGAATAATGGTAAAAATGATATCATAGCTACAAGCTACAAAGAAAAACAAAAAAAAGTGGACGATGAAGATATCAAACACGAGCAAAATGAAACTATATTGTTAAATGATAAAATCGTTAATAAGGAAATAGTCAGTAATGAAACTGTTAGTGATGAATTAGTTAGTGAGAAAATTGTTAGTCCGGAAACGCTTGGTGATAAAGTTGGTAGTGATGAGATAGTTAGAAATAAAATAATTAGTGGTGAAATAGTTAGAAATGAAGTGATTGGGATCGAAACTGTTAGTGATGAGATAGTTAGTTATGGAGAGCTTAAGCTCGAACCTGATAGTGAAGAAGTTGTTAGTGATGAAATTATCTATAATCAAACCGGGATTGAAAAAGTGATTATAGAAGATATAGGAAACAGTGCAGTTAAAATTAATAATCATGTTAATGAAGCGCCAGTGAATAGCGAAATCATGGGAGTGTTAGAAGAGAATTTTGAGAAGGATATCTTAACAATAAGTTGGGAAGATTCTAACAAAAGAGAAAATATATATATTTTAAGTGAAGATATTGATTACAGCACAAAGTGTGAATTTGAAAATTTATTTGAAAATACTTATGTAAAAGCGAAAAGGCCAAATCAGCCAAAATTAAGACATGAGTTAAGCATAAGATTAGAAAACGACAAAGTATTTAATTGTACACCTAGGCGGTTATCTTATATGGAAAAAGAAAAGTTGCAAGAATTATTAGACGACTATTTAAAAGATGGAATCATTAGGCCAAGTTGTTCAGAGTATGCATCACCTATAGTACTAGTGAAGAAAAAAACTGGAGACATGAGGTTATGTATTGATTTTAGAAGACTGAACAAAATTATATGTAGAGACAACTACCCGCTACCATTGATCGACGATTTATTAGACAGACTATGCGGAAAAACAGTATTTTCAAAGTTGGATCTAAAAAACGGGTATTTTCATGTTTTTGTTAATGAGCAATCTATTAAATACACTTCATTTGTTACCCCTTTAGGACAATATGAATTTCTTAGGATGCCCATGGGTTTAAAAACTGCGCCACATGTATTTCAAAGATTTGTTAATAACATATTTTGTGATATGATAAAAGATAATAAGGTAATTGTTTACATGGATGATATTATGATAG